GCCTCGCCCTTAGCCGCTCCATGTGATCCGTTCACACGCTTGTACCTCTTCTTCTCTTGCAGAAAAACTGATTGTGTGCATCACAAGACGACAGCCTCCTCCCACTTACTGCCCTTGCTGAACTGACAATGGGGGACTACCGCTACACTACCGACATGACTAAACTTCATCCCTTACACTCTTGCAGTTTCTCTTCCTCCTTCTGTCTCTCTGTTACATTCCTCCATTGCAGTTCAAACCCTCGAATGAAACCATATGGAAAACTGACGATGCTCTGCATTCCCTGTGGACAGCCGGATGTGACACTACGACCACTTGACTCCAAAACCACTCCATCAGCACTGCAGCTTGCTTGGACAACACTAATGCTCTCTTTCTTTGAGACTGTGGCTTCTTTGGTATTTTCTCGGAGGTCAGAGCAAAGACTAATTAAACTAATTAAAAAGGAACTGTTGGAATCATATCAGGACACTTTATGGTGAGATTTTCCATAAATGGCTAACACACTCTGTTTTGACGAAATCAACGTTTTCTCTCTCTCTCTCTTTCCTTAATGGTCACACACTACAAAATATGAGTAATTTCCTACCGCTGGGATCTTGTATTTATCTGTCTAATTAGATATGTGTACAGCTTCTGCTTCTGTTTTGGTAGCGGTTGTTCCTCGACTCGCTTTGCTGTGTACTTTTAGTTACGTACGCGTGCCAAATGACACTGCTACTGCTGTGACTGCCACTGCTAACGCGCAACATGGCACGCTCAGACTTTTCTCCAGCAGCTACACTGAAAACTCGTCATCCGCTTTGTTCTGTTGGCATCTTGTGTTGGTGACAGCCCAAAGATGCATGGGCGTGCTGCTTTTTTCTGCATTTGATTGTGATGATCCACAACTGTACAAGGTTAGTTATACAGCCAGAAATAAAGCAGACGAATGATTTTCCTCCTCCTCCTCCTTGTTGGAACAGACGGCAGACTATTTCTAAAGTGATCTTTCTGTTAAATGCACCCCCCTTTTTCTTGGTAATTCTTAGTGGATATCTCAAGGATCCGGCGGGCGCATTTCCTTATCTGCAGGTCCATAATCTTATGAATGTGTACATATGCAAGATTGTCTTTAATCGTGGGCTAAATGGAGTGCCTCGCTTATTCAGGATGGGTCTCATGGGTGTGTCCAGCGTGACCTGGGTAACTGGTCAAGTTGTTTTGTTTTGTTTTTTCACAGCAGCGTACAATTTGGGAGTGCTGTATATAGAACTCAGAAGTTTTTATTATGCGAGAATATGCGATCTTGTATGTTATTGGATATTTCTTTTTTTTTTTTAAATTAAACTCTTGAGTTCTGTATAACTTACTGCTTCACAAATCCATAACCTGCCTGGCTTTAAGACAGATCGACACAGTGCTGTCTGTTTTGTTTGCCCACATTTCTTTAGTACGATGTTTGTTCTGAAGAGGAATGCTTATTCTTAGTGCCGAGTGAGATGTAGATACTTACTGCGTGGATGATTAAAAGAAGCACTACGGGGTTGTAAAGTGTGATTTTTCTTTTCTTTTTTTAACCTCCTTTTTTCATGCCAGTTGAAATATGACAGCCTCATTTTCTCAAATTAACGAGCTGTCTTCAAGATTGGACTGACTGAAAGATGAAAATGATAGCGAGCGAGGGCTAGTGTTAGAAAGAGAGGCATAGACCAGAATCTATTAGATAAAATCAAGAAAAAAGTAAAAGCACATTTAAACTATATATACAAGAGAATATTTGTTAATTTTAATGGTTTTATGTATTATTATTTTTATATATATATATTGATTTGGGTTTAATTGTTTTGGGTGTTCTGGGTGAATGCATATGCAATCTTTTTTTTTTCTTTTTTTTCTTTTTTTTGTTTGATTGAAAACAGTTTGTCTTAATTGAAAGCAAAACCAAGTTAGCTGAACAGAAATCCTCCGACACCATCATCAGATACACTAATGGGAAGGAAAAAACCAGATTGTTGACTAATGTAATCTCTTTGCCTTGGCTCTTAAAGTTGCACATTCTCATTTATGAATGAATTATGTAACTAGCAATAATGTTTTTAATAAAAAAGAAAATTATTTCTCAGTGCCCGTGTTTTCTTTTGTCAGATTCTATTTATTTATTTATTTTTAAATGGGAACAAGGAGATGTTTATGATTTTTGTTGTCCCTCAGTATCATTTACTTGTGGTTATTATAGTTGAAAATGGGGGTAAAAAAACTAGACTACAAAAAAAAGTATTTTATATTTTTAAAAACATATTGAGGAAATTAAGTAGCAGTAATTTAAGCACGAGAAGTAACTGGTCCAGACTTTTAGTGACACTGTAGGATTTCCACACGGCTGCGAGTCAGGTGACCAAATTCCAGCCAATTAAAATTGGGACACTTAATTCTGAGCCATTTATAATGTGAAGGATAAATTCCATTTGAAAGCAACATTCCTGACACCCTCACTGCGTAAACTTAAAGAGCATACATTACAGCCAGCATTATTCCTTATGTAGGTCTCCCTTTACTCATGTAGTCTCCTTTGTACATGTTTCTGCTGCTGTTTCATCTACAAAACCTTTGGGCGTCTGAGGGGAAACCTCCATTTTTTTTCTTTTATTTTTTGTTTTTAACCCAAAATTGTTTTTGTTTTGTTTTTTTGCTGCGTTTGCTTTTTTTTGTGGTAGTATTTGCCATATTCCACATAATTGTGCATATTTTGTGACTTGAAATGTTTTTTCACCTTCTGCTTTCAAGCATTGGCAGAATAACCACGACGACAACCTTTAACACCCATATCTGTCACACATCTATAGATGCACTGTAGATGGGATAGGGTACAAAAACATCTGTAGACTCATGCAAGACCACCAAGGTGGTTGGGAACAACAGGACTGGTCCTGTGAGACTTCAAGTTCCAGACAGAGAATCTGCTACTGGCCAACCAACCACACATAGTGGTGGCTGACAAGGAGAAGACTGTAGTTGTGATAGTTATGGTGATGACCAATGGATACCGACATCAGGAAGAAGAAACACAAACACAAGTAAAATGGCTCTCCCTCTTATATCATTTTGGTTTCCGCTGATGCTGTTTTGTTATCAACAACTGTATATGTCAGTAAAGATTTTCAGCTTGCATATTTAATTCATAAATGTATTTATTTCTTCACTATCACAAAAACAAATTGGAACTAAAATTTTAAAACCAATGAAACTAAAAGTGAATCCACTCTGAGCTGACACCAAACTTACTAATAACTGAGCGCTCGGTGTCATTTCACAGGGCGGTCAGTAGGTGTCGCTATCACGTTGCAACACCATCTCGGATGCAAAAACTCGTGATGGGCGGTGAAGTGTTGCATGACTTTAATTTCTGGCTTTAACTCCAGTGGGTAAAATAAACATAATCCTCCATGAACCCTCTGCTCCTGCTACAGGAAGATTTTGGTAAGTGTAACTTTAAAGCTAACCTACATTAGCCACGGTGACTGAAATCACTCCAGAGTTAGCCAGCTTAATAAAGTTAAGCCAATTAAACCTTCATTCTAAGGAATGGAATGATTATTAAGTTGTAGTCTATGAATAAAGTGACAAAATTTTATGCGAAATGATGGGCGTTTTGGTTTTTTGCATTTTTGTGCTAACATGTAGCTACCTCTTAAGCTAGCTAAGATAAGCCTAGGCAGCGATGATTAACCAACGCATTTTGTTAAAAAAAAAAAAAAAGGTCGGCTTAGGTGTCTAGAAATTTGCGATTAATTGAATAAATGAAACAGACAACCAAATAAAAACGTTGTCTGATTGGTAACAAGCCGATAGTGAAGTTCATTAATGCTAATTAATTCGTAGGGCTCCTCCACGTGCTCCCAGAGTCGGTGTTAGCTGTGATCCTGGCAGAGAGACCACCTCTGTACACACCGCACACAGGAAACTAGCCGTGACTCATTACACTGTGAGAAGAAAACAGGTTTCTAGAGGTGTACCTAGTACTTAAATTAAGGATCTCAAGTTGTACCAAGAATTTAAACCAGCAGTAAATTATAAGAAGAGGTCAAAAGTGAGGCTTTCCCCCAAACCATGAATGCAGCAATTGAGCAATTTCCTCAGAAATGTTCATTTCGATTTTAGGAAAAAAAGCTCTTCAACTCAAAAGATAAAAGGCATAAATAAACTGTATTATTGAGATTAATAGAAAATAAATGAAGCCATTATCTAGCATTCATATATTCAGAAAAGCTCGAAATGGTATATTAAATTACAATAAAAGCAATAATACAATAATAAAAGCAAAAAAATAGCAATTGGAATATTTTTGTACTTTCAAAGGAATACCCTACCATGAATCTGATTTGGGGGGTTTTAATCATCATCAAAAGATCTGTTTCCTGCCATTCTAAGCAAAGTTGGTCAAATAATTCATTTTTGTGCAAATCAGCCAAACTCTGAAAGCAATTTTTAATTTAATTTGACTGGTAATTTCTATACAACGTTTTCCATGTCTGCTAATACTGACTACCTTATGACTGTGCTCTTATTCAATAGGATAGTGAGTCCCCCCCGATGTTATTTAAGTGTTTAACAGATTTGTTTGGAGGCAGATGATGTGTGGCGACCTCCTTAAAATTGTAGCCGAAAGAAGAACAAGGTTTCTATACAAGCAGTTTTTGTGTCCCAGTTTTTGCTGAAATTAAATTCACATGCCCTTTAATGAACCATATGGTATAGCCAAGCTGGGAAAAAAAGTAGTCACCACCCAAAGAAATAGGTTGTGACTATTGTCCACCCATTCCACTAAATAATTATCACAGTGATTTAACATTTTAGCTGGCAGCAGATTATTTAACCCTACCTAAGGCAGTGAGTAGGTTCTCTTCTATTAAACAACAATGTCTGGAGACGTATCCTGGGGTTGTGGAAAAGATCTTACTCTATTTTAGAGTTGTGGTGAACCATCATCTTTGATGGAGAAATGGACAAAATCTTGAATGATCCTGATCTGAGATTACTGAAATATTTAGTTTGTAAAAACTTCAATTTAATTTATATAACACCAAATCACAGCAACAGTCTTGTCAAAGTGCTTTACATTGTAACAGAACAATCCTACGATAATACAGAGAAAACAACAATCAGAAAACCATCTATAAGCAAGCACTTGGCAATAGTGGAAAGGAAAAACTCCCTTTTAACAGGAAGAAACCTCCAAAAAAACAAAGTCACGGCATTTCCTTATCTTACATTGTGGCAAACTCAAGACACCGGGACTAAATGCTATCATAGCCCTAAGAAAACCACTTCTCAATGAGGCTGTAAGGGTGGAAAGAAGACTTCAGTTTGCTTAGGCGCTTAAAGATGGTCTGAGCCCAGATTTATCCTGCTTAAGAGTGATTAGCACGTCATACTGAGGGATACAGATAAATTGATGCACCAACACGAGCCCGTAGGGGCAGTTTTGTGGTTGGTTTAGTTGCTCATATCTAGGTTCAGCATTGTTGAATGAGGTCAGCTACCTGAATTTACTGAATAAGCAGCTTTTTCCAGCCGTGGATTTTTTTCTTCCCTGATGGCATGGACATATTCCAAGATGGCCGCATTCATTCGGATCAAATTATGGCAAAGTGGTTTGGGTCTCACTGAGAATCTTTGGAATGTGCGTGTCTGCATATAAATAAATGTTGTGAC